AATAGAGCAATCAATGACAATAATGTAAATATTGAGTCAACACACAGATATATAGTGATTCGGTCCGGATAACCTACTCCACTCTGAAAAATGGCAACAGTGACAAGAGGTCTTTATTGATGAATAAAGTAAGAGAGAAAAATTATGTGTGTGTAGGGAGGTGTAGAAATAGAGCTCAATGTGTCCTCTCATGTAGAGAAGACTTACAATTTATAGACACAGGGCCTTGGTTAAGGCGGTGACTTAAGGGCAAAGGTACTAATTATTCGGACGTCTACAAAAGATAATTGTCATAAAAGATTGTCTTGATCTTCAAGAGAGAGTATTCCGATAATTGCTCCTCATGTGCTCTAATTCTTCTTGGACTCTTTGGAACTTGTGTTGGGTTGAATTTGCAAACCGGGGTCAACCTGCCTTTTAGTTGATTTAGATTTACTGGATTTATTGGGTCTGATCTAATTAGATTTGAGCTCGTCAATAAGTATATCTCTTCTATAAGTAAAAATAAATTAAACACATATTCTATTTTTCTTAAACTTGATTTTGTTCCCGTTTAAATATAAAAACACCAACTAATTAAATTGTTTATTTTTATAAAGGATCCACAATAAAAAATAATTAATATCAAAAAAAAATTCAATCAAGTTATTATCAAGAAAAATAAAACATAATAAAATAGTAGGTGAACGTTACATCCATAAACAAGTTAAGGATCATAAAAAATAGTAAAATAATTCAATAACAAGGAATTGCAAATGTATATTGATAGTCAATTATGTAATATCACAATTTTAATGAACAACATACAAAACAAATAAAAAGAACATAAAAACAGTAATAAAACAATAGAATATATCCTAAAAAGTGCAAGTCAAGTAAGAGATAAAAAAGATAAATAGATATGCATATTTGTTTGCTAAAAAATGTGTATTTAGTCAAAATGATCTATATATATTTACAATTCCTATAAATTATATTATTGAACAGTTGTACGCAAATAACATGTATATTAAATAACACATGTAATGTTTAATATATCTTATATGCCTAAATTACTAAAAAAAATAATTATGTGACACCACGTTATAACATTGAACATTTTTATTATTACAATATCTTATAATAGTCTACACATAATTTGACAAATTAAAAAATACATAAAATATAGAATAACACATATATTACATTTAATTCTTGTGTATCATTCAGTCTTCAATTTGTCTTATTTAATCGATTTCATGACAAATACTTGATAGTGAGAAACAATTAAAGACTATAATTGTTGCAAGATGCGCAAACAATTCAATCCTTTGGAAGGAAGGAGTCACAACAGGGTTGACCTTAGGTCTCAACCATTAAAATAGTCACTTAGAGCCCCAAAAATTTATGGTCCCAATTTAATTTTTCAGTCTTTAGTTGAACTTCATGCTATGAGGCCCTTTTGAATGGACAAGGTTAAATGCCTAATATATTTAACAACTCTATCTAAAGTCTTATAAAAAGTTCTAAATGTAACAATTTCACAAGTCTACATAAACCTTATAGAAAGTTTTAAAATACAACAAATCTTTCTAAAAAAAATATAAAAATATCAACTTATAGGTATAAAAGTTACAATCCTTTTCGATTCTTTTACTATTTTTTCCTTGACTCTCACCGCCTCTACTCAACTCTTTCTCTCCCTCTCACTCTCATTGTCTTTCTGTGGTTCTTTGTCATTATCTCAAACTTTCTTGTTACCACTTTAAGTCTTCGTTCAATTTATTAATGTGTAACATCTTGACATTTATAATTGCACTCAATTTACTGTCTGATCTCGCCCGATCTCAAAACTCCTAAAAAAAATCATATTGTAACTTTTTATAAAATGTCTAATACTTATTAAAAAAATTATTATCTTCATAAAATATTAAATGAAATATCATGTAAAATTCTTACTTTAGACCCCAATTTGTGTTGGGCCACCCCCGGTTCTAGTATTCTTTAAAACCTACTACTATAATTCAATAATTATGATAAATTATTAATAAATTAAATCTAAATAATATCATTAATTTCTCAGCATTAACTCGATTAGATGAAAAAAGACCCGAAGAACAAGTGATTGGACAATGGATTTTACGAGCTTTAAAGTAAACCTCTCTCTCTCTCTCTCAAACTCCATACAAGAAAGATTAACATAGAAAATCCCCAAACTCGAATTCAGATTTTACAAATTCAACACACAACACTAAAGAATTTGGAAGATGAACATCGTAAGGTCAAGGTCTCTGAATAACCTGCAATTTTTGAAATACTTTTGTCAAATATCGATTAGCTGTAGTATCAAACTTAATATTACTAATAATGCACACATGCGTTGCACGTAAAAAAAATATAGTTCATTAATTTGTTATTAAATTTATTTGAAATACAAAGATGATGAGTAATAAAATTGAATTATTTTTTGTAAAGGTAAATGAATAATTAAAATACCAAAGAAAAAAGCACTTAATCTTTTAATTTTTTCAAATGTTTTTTTACAGTATACAGTGTTTGAAAATGAGCAATACTATTTTGGAACTAGTTTATTGATTTTAATTCAGTGTAGTTGTTAAATTGATTACGAGTCCCATCAAATATTAAAATTAAAAAAACAATATGAAAAGTCCTTTATTCGAATATGAAAAATGTCAAAAGTCATGTATATTGAACAATAACTAAAAAGGAGGATAATTTGCAGACAATTTTTTACGCTAACATAAACATAGGAATAAACAAACTAAAACATAGGAATTAATAAATTAAAATATATGAATTAATAAACTAATCTCAATTATGTCAAATACTTGATTTGCAACACCAATTTAATAAACTAAAACATAAGAATTAATAAACTAACTTCAATTATGTCGAATACTTGACCTGCCATACCAATATCTTAGAAAACTACTTAAAATTAAATTAAGAAAAATTAAGTGCCACATAACATAAGAATTAACGTAAATATATGAATTAATAAACTAAAACATAGAAATTGATAAACTATCAATTCAACAAAAACTTGGTTTGCACAATATTGGTTCAACAATACTCCAACTCATTAAAAATATATTTTTTTTCATGTAAAAAGTAATCAAACAATGATTTAGAAACATAATACCAGAAAATAGTTGAACATGCAAAGAACCATACAAAATACTTCAAAACAAATCTATAATATAATAGTAATAGTAATAACAATTGATAGAGTGACGTTTGCATTAACTCCTGGCTTTCGCACTGAAATTAATTGGACACGGGCATCCTTCTTCTGTCATAAAGCTCTTCCAGTTTTTATTTTTGCAATTAACTTGAAAATCTTTCAGGATTTTAACATGCCTGTTCAATTGTTTGATTATAGACCTACATGAATGGTTGTGTTTATCACCTAAAAATTACTAATATGTGGCATTAGAATTCTTTATTAGAGTTTATAGAATTGAATGAAAAAGAAAGAATTTACAGATAAAATTTATCTACCTAATATTATGATAAAGTTTATCTACCAAGTTATAAAGATAAAATTTATCTAGCTAATATTTTGGAAGTCAAATAGGTATGAAAAACTAAAAAATATGTGGGTATAATTGACTTTATAGTAATAATTAAAGGTGAAATAAGTAATCAATTTTTTTTCACAAATGTTGACATTTATAAGTAGTATAAATATAGATAATCAATTACCACAAAAAAATAAAAATTGGTAATTTTTTAGTTTTGCATCAACAAAGAAACATCCATTAATTACACCTAATTATTCTGTGACAATAGACATGTATAATCGTCTCAAGCTCCTACTAATGTACCGTCAAATTAGGATGTAATAATCTTGATTGAGGATAGAAATCTCATTTCCGAACACTTGCATATTTGGATAATCGATTTGATTGAAATTTTAATTCGGCTGGAATCCAATAGCACCGATCTAAAAAAACAATTCTTATGATGTTTAATAATTAATTTTATCTTTTAACAATGCTATGTATAACAAAAGATTTATCAAAAATAATTTTACAAACTAGATTACAGATTCTATTTCTGGATGACAATAATTTTGATTCAGAAAGAAATTTTAATTACTAAATCTTAATTATTCTTTTCGGAATAGTTAACTATTCAGTAATTCCAGACGATAATAAGATTACTAGAGCAAAAAAAAAAATAGTATTATTGTAATAAGATTACATGTATTACTTTAATTTTCATGAAAAAAATTATAGTTGGATATTTGAGTCAGTATCAAATACTTTCTTGATTGGCTAAAATAATTAGATTTTGTAAGAGTATCAAATCACTCACTGTTATTAAATTGATAATGAGTTTTAATATTATTTGAAACTTACTATTATAATTCAATAATTACGATAAATTATTAATAAATTAAATCTAAATAATATTATTAGTTTCTCAGCATTGACTCGATTAGAAAAAAAAATGAACAAAAAGATTGACTTGTCCAGACCCTTCCAAACCCAAATATTTAAATCCATGTTTGCAATTCTTATTATTTTAATATTTGATTATTTTAATATTTAATTATTTAAGGTATATATATTATATAAGGATATAAATGTTATTTTGTATGTTGAACTCTTTAACCCCTGCATGAAATTGAAAAACCACCCCAACCGGATTTCATAAAATTCATAAATATGAGTTTAAATTACGGGTCTAAAGTAGACTGAGTTTGCTAACCTGAGTTAAAAATATAATTACTAAACATGAATTTAATGAGTTTTGGACTTTTACCCCCGACCCATCTTCCAAATCACCCAGTCCCACGTACCAAACAGGCCCAAGCGACTTGGGCAAGGGTTTGCTCTACGTAAATACGCCCTAGGTAAGTACGCTCTTCTCTTGTCTTGAAGAACAACCTAGGGAAAGCCCCTCTTTCTCAAACCCCCCAACTCGAATTCAGATTCTACGGATTCAACTCACAGCACTGAAGAATCAACTCACAGCACTGAAGAATTTGGAAGATGAACATTGCAAATTCAAGGTCTCTGAATAACCTGCAATTATTGAAATACCTTCGTAGCTATAGTAGGCCAATCTCTACTTCATCTCCGTCTTCGATTCTCAATCGGTCCCCACTCCTGTCCAATCACCTCTCGCCTCTCCCCTCACTGTTCTCCACCTTCGTCCGTCATATCCGTACCAACCGCGGCGATCCAAGCCTCAGGTATAAATTTTTATTTCATTATATATTTGTGTGTGATCGTGTTCGTGTGTATAAATGTATGGGTTTCTAACTTGTAATTTGTGATTTGTAAGTGTAGACATGACATTCCACCTCCAATTAATTGGGGAGTACAAATTGTTCCGGAGAAGAAGGCATACGTCATCGAGCGGTTCGGAAAATATGTGAAGACGTTGACTCCCGGAATCCACATCTTGATTCCATTCGTTGACCGTATAGCCTACGTGCATTCCCTGAAGGAAGAGGCCATTCCGATTCCAGACCAGTCTGCTTTCACAAAGGACAATGTCAGCATTTTGATTGAAGGAGTTCTGTATGTGCAGGTACGTCTTCTGTTTTTGTAGAATTTTTGGATTTTTTTATTGTTTTAGTAGATTCCAATTGGATTGGTTGATTGCAGATTGTAGATCCGTGGTTAGCGTCTTACAGAGTTGAGAATCCCTTGTATGCAGTTATGCAGCTTGCACAGACAACTACGCGCAGTGAGCTTGGGAAGATCACTCTGGATGAGGCTTTCGAGGAAATAAATACTTCGAATGAGAAGATAGTGGTGAGCTGTTAACTGAGTGGGGTTAAATTTTTTATAGCCGTTTTTCTCCTAGTTATTTGTTTGCTGGTTTATCTCATTTTGGTAGCAGGGATATCACCTTGCATGAGTTGCGAGGTTATATATTATAGGTTTCATTGCTTGAATTTATGATTTGTGGCTTATCACTCGGAAGTGCCCTGTTGACACCTTTGTAACTTTACAGTAGTGAGATTTTACATGTTTACTTCTTGCAAGGTTTACTATCGGTTTTTTGTTAGCAATAATTGAAACTGCGTATCTCTGCTCTTGGATTCAGAAAGCTGTAATTTAACAACACTACACACCAGTTAATTTAAATATTAGAAGAGGATATGCCCTTGTAGTCTAACAATGTTAAACTTCTCAATTATGTGTGTTAATTGGTTGTCTAGGAGTACAGTTGTTTATGATTAACCTCCATAATTCTTCGTGATAGATAAAAGTTGTTTGCGTATTTTTTGTCTTTCACACATGTCAAATCAATTACAAATGAGCATATCATATGCATTAACTCTTTTGTTAGGACGTAAGAGCACTTTTGGAGGTTTTGTGAACTTTTGAGAATCCAATTGTTGAGATAAAGGACCAAGTAATATGGTAATATCTGTATTATTTTCTAATACTACCAATAAAAGTTCTGTTTGAAATCTTATTGGACACATCAACCAAATATTTTAATGGAAGTTATTCTTGTACGTAGTTGTTATTGTAGAATTGGACGTTTGTCTTTTCTATAATACAATTGTTTTTGCACCTATAATCTTTAGCTCGTTGTTGCTATATATGGTAAATAAAGTGTGATATGTTGACGCTCCTATATGCTTAGAATTGCTTGCTCTACAAGTGTGCTTTGTTTTCAGATGGCCATCAATGATGCGGCAACAGATTGGGGCCTGAAATGTCTGCGTTATGAAATAAGTAGGTTGAAGAATTTTTGTTCATCTGTATTTTTCAATGGCAAGTTATACATAAGTCCCATATATTTTCTTTTTAAGGGGATATATCTCCTCCTTGGGGAGTGAGGGTGGCTATGGAGATGCAGGCGGAAGCAAAGCGCAAAAAGAGAACTCGGGTTCTTGAGTCAGAAGGTAACGAAGTTTTCACCCTCTCCCTTCTTTGATCCGTAATTGAGTTTATTTTGTGCAGTCTAATAGTCTACTGAATGGGTAGGGTTAAGGGTGTAGTTCATTCACATGGTTTTATAATTTATATCTTTGATAATTGATTGAGACATCAGAATTCAATAAAAGAAGGGGTTCACCTAAAGAAAGAATGGCACAAAATCCAAAACATGCACCATTTAAGTATTGAAATAACTCTCATGCCACCATTTAAGCAAGAGCTCCAATGTGTTGACTGTGGATGCCAGAATTCACAGACTACTACTTATTTATATAAAAAAAAAAAGGGAATTCACATAAAATCTTCTAGTATACCCCTCAAATTTACAACATATGACACACACTGAGGTATTTTTACAAACAATGCTGGGATGACCATAAACTCAGACCAAAAGCCAAAAAAATTCTCCACCACCAAAAAGGTGGGATCCAAAAACTAAAACTAGTTGGGAAGATAGGAGTGATGGGAGACGACAAAAGGGGTCCGAGTACTAAGTGTCCCAGAGTCGGTACTCCGAGCTCTCTAGAAATTGGGTTGTGGATGAGTGACTCTTGGTTCTTTGTCCATTTTACTTAGAGAATGGGCCTGTAAGAAATCATCCCATTACCACCAGTAGATATCAATGTATCATCTGTCGCTCCCATCAATGTGCATGAAACTACTGTCTAGATGCAGCTAACTTCCCAATCTCCCTGATGGAAATGTCCATAGGTAAGTTTTCCCTGATATGAATCATTGTAATTTTTGTTACCAAGCTTAGAAATTGCCCCAATCCCCGCCCATTAAAAACTCTAGGGTATGTCAAGGAACAATTCCACTGGTTGCTATTCTCACTTCAGGCTAGGAATGGATAAAAATTGATTGAAAGCTTACAATTTCCGCAAGGAACATGGTACACAAAACCAATGTTCTCCTTTCTGTCTTTTCTTGTAATTGATGTGCTTCAATATTTAACAGGAGAAAGGCAGGCAAACATTAATATTGCAGATGGGAGAAAGATCTCAGCCATCCTTGCATCAGAAGCTGCAAAGATGGACCAGGTTAACAGAGCTCAAGGTTAGTTATCATATTCTATCAATCACATTACTGCTTCCCCTTTTTACCTCCCTGGCAAATAGCGCATTTGTGGCTATTATACTGTTGGACTGTGTGACATGGGCTCGGATACATGTGTCATATGCAGGCATGTTTTTGAGCGTGATATTCATCTGATATCCAAAATAGAGTGATACTTTAATGCTTATTTCTTAAATATTTTCAAGGTAAAAATGGTGTTTTATGTGATATAAGAGACTTCTAGTGCAATTTAATGATAAACTTGAATTTCTAGACAAGCTTGCTCAGTGAATGTCAATTGGAACATGTCAGTGGCATTACCACTCCTATTGAAGAATTGTGTATCTGACAAAAGTGATTCATGCATTTTGAAAAGTCAAATAGCATCGGATGTTGGGTAACGATAAATAATAATGACGAAAAATACTGGCAAAATTTTGTGTCCTTAATTTATTCAATGTAAAAGGTGGGGCCTTTGTTTTTTTGGAGGGGGAGGAGAAGAAGGAGCCGATTTGTTAATTTTAAAAATAGGCATACAACTTCCTGTGTAACATTTCCATTGGAGATGAATTTCATTTTTAAGGTGGAAATTTTTGTTTTTGAAGAATGCTGCAAGTGTTATGCACTAGTCTTCACAGAATTTGCCTTTTTTTTGCTGCAGCTGAGGAAGCTCATATATGTTTCTTTGATTGCTTGTAATATGTGATGTTCTTGATGTTCAATGTTGCTCAAGTTGATCCTTCATTCTCTTGACTCCACACCTATTGTGCTTCTTAATCCCTTCAATGATGCCATGGATCATATCGATTCTGCTTTGTGCGAGTGCTGATTTCCCTTCTCGTTGGCAACTTCTATTCTAATTCTTTAACATTTTGTTTTCAAATTAATAAATCAGGAGAAGCAGTAGCCATCCTTGCTAGAGCGCAAGCAACTTCCAAAGGAATTGCTATGGTATCACAGACACTGAAAGAACATGGGGGTGTGGAGGTGAGGTCCTTCAGTAGTTTGATTGCATTTTTTGTAGTTATACATTGATACAATGTAGAAGTCTCTCTTCTTTAAATCTCAAATTAACCACACAATTGCTTATCTATAATCCAATTGGCTTGTTATTCAATCGAAGAAATCTGCTGTCGCGCCACAAAAGTCGAGTATAACTATGATGAACTTAGGGCTGAGGGTTTAAACAGTTGTGAATAGGGTGAGACTTTGACCTAAATTTTGATGACCTTTTTCAGTCTTCCATTTTATCTTGCTAGTGAATGTTTGGTTCTTCAGGAAAGTTTTATGGCAATATCCCAGTATTTAGCCATTTAGGTGTGGTTTTTCCCTGTAATTGTAAATACAAAAGGGCTAAAGTCGGTGAAAACATTGGTTCACAGCTCTAGATTGGTCGTGAATCATACTTCTAGTGGCCATGAGGGATTTTTAATATTTAGAAACTGTTATTAGAATTATTTGGATAATGCACCTATAAATGTTTTGGGATTTGCAGGTTGCATGTTTGAGAATTGCTGAGCAGTATATTCAAGCCTTCAGCAAGATTGCAGGGAAGGTAAATTACAGTGCTATTAGAAGTTGTAATACACTGCTTCGTTGTTTGAATGATTCATTAAAAATTTCCCTATATCCTATAGGGCTTCTTGAATGATTCATAGGGCACAACATTATTGCTTCCTACTAGTGCTTCCAATCCTGCCAGCATGATGGCTCAAGCGCTTAGTTTATACAAAAGCTTAATTGGCAACAATTCTGGTCATAAGCTTCCAAAACATCAAGGTTGATTCTCCATATGAAGACACTAAGAATAAGACCCACTCCTATTAAAGGAGCTTGAGGTTCTCGTAGATAAAGACAATAAAGCAAATTAGTAATTGTAGAATGTCACAAATTTCATTGAATTTTTTTTTATCCGTTTTCATCATATTTTCGTAGTTGAAAGCTTTTTGTTTATTTTGGATTTGTTTTTGTGGATAATTATATATTCTACCAAGACAGTATATGCTTGAGTCTTACTGCTGAGACTTGATTCAGCTGATCGTACCTTTCTTTTTCCTTTTTTTGTTTTTTGTTTTTTCTGTGATTGAAAAGCCTACCTTTCTTGTGGGATCGTCTGTTCTGGTCATTAAAAGTGTATTTCCCATCCATCTATACAAATGTCCAATAACTTGCTTGATATTCCGATGGAAGCCTCGTCAAGTACGAAGAATTTTGTTGTGATTGTTTACAAATTCTTGTACCAAAGTCACAGCTCGTACAGTCTTTTTTTTTTTTTGGTTTAACAGTCGGGTATATTTATGCCAACTTACGTATATCTCGAATAATTTTTTCTTCGGTCCGATCAATGGTTAGGTTTTTCATGAGAAATAAATCTCTCATAATCTAGTCCCAAAGAATTATCAAAATTTAAACTCAAGACATGTAAATTTTACGGCTTGTTGTGTTATCACTTAAGTTATCCTCAGGGAGTTGCTCATGCAAATTCTGCTCGTTCTTAAAAGTTAAACTCAATTGAACTTGGGTAACGCAACCTTGGTTGGACATCATTTTCAATTCTCGTGTCAAAATTTGAGTTAAATTCAAAGAAAGTATTTAACAAATCAACCAAAATTCAAATTAAACTATGAAATTCGAACCCATATTTTGGTCGGTTTGGATTATATTGTTCCGAGTTACTTGTAAATTGATCCTTCTTACTTGCACCCCTAATAGAACATGATAGCCTAGTAGTTTGATTTGTAATTTGTCAAAATATCTAGTTTGTGGGTCAAATTACTTCTTTTTATGCCATATTATAACATAATTTTCTAACTAACATTCTTTTTCGATAAGTAACGTTGTTTTACCCATAATTCTCGTATAATAAGTCGCACGATGGGACAGTGATATAGTTGAGTGATATCAAACTAAGTCGCATTCATTTTTAACCATAGAAATAGAATATAGTTGTATAGGACTTAGCATCAGCTTAATTGACAAGTTTACTTTTTCCTCTTGGCCTTATGCACAGCACTACTAGTCGGCAAACCAGCACTTTTTGTATACCATTCCCACTTGAAGGTCATCGAAAAAGTAGTCCATTGACATTAATTATGTTCTTGATGTATTAGTCTTAATATATAACTTGAACATTGAATCTATATTTAACAATTACAATGACGTTGTTGGTTAGCCGGCATCATTTCAAGATTCAGCTCCTCTCTTTCTGATGACAGCAGCAGTTAAATATGCGCTTGTCAATGAATCAGATTTTGATCCGAATCTGAATATAAACTAATATTTTTGACTTATAATCTGAACCCGTATTTGATTTTGATATCTTGTATTTATTTGATTCGGATTTAAATATATTTATATCCGATCAAATTATATTCGAATTCGAATTGTTTATATTTTTTATATAAATATTAAAAAAATAAAGTGATTATTTTAAAAATTTTAGTTTTTGTTTGGGTAACTATTTGAAACTCTTACAAGGGAGGGGATTATTTAAAAAATTAAGTGATTATCATCGGATTCATATCGAACTTTAAAAATTAGATTCAAATTATCGAATCAGACTAAATCCAAATCATTGATAGGCCTAATTCCATCTAGTAGTCGAACTATTCTTTTTTCTTATTTTTTTTTTTCATAGATCGAATTCTTAAATAGAAAAACCTGATTGACAGTTTAGTCATATCCTTGACAATATGAAACTACTTTTGAGTTATACAAAAGAGTGGGTTAGTAAATTTGTTAATGGCCAATTACATCTCTCGGTAACATCCATTGAACATTAAATGAACAAAGATGGTACCTAATACACAAAAGATCCACAGATCTATTGTGGAATGTGAAATAAATAAGTAGCAAACGACCTTAAAATTCAAACCTTTTGATGGGTTAATATTCCATCTTCACCTAAATAAAAAATCATGCACATTAATCCATCATGTTTTAATTTTTGCCCTTTAATTGAAGGTAACGTTTTGGTGCAACGGTAAATGTTGCTTTATTATAATCTGGAGGTCATGTCAATCACAGAAATAACTTCTCTACTTACAAGGATAAAATTACGTAAATTTAACCACTCGTAGACCTTGTACTAATAGAAGTCTCATACACCCTTTTAATTGAAGGTGAAGGTGATTTTCAGTTGATTTGCCCCTTGCCTAAAGCTCTGCCGTTTCCAACCAATACAACTTGCCTGGAAAGCTATTACCTGGTTTGTTCAACAGGTCATTTTACATCATTTAATGCACTTATTCAACAATGACTATCTTATGACTATTGCTTAGAACAGTCCACTGAATTTAAACAATCATCTGGTTGTAGCAGGTGCTTTGAAATAGTTACACTTCAATATCTGTTAAGCCACCCCTTAAATCCCATATCAAATTGGATAAACACCCCTTCTTTATGAATCACAACATTAATACACTAGAGTAGGAGTTGAGCCATTATTCTATATCGGGCGCTTCAAGGTCAATATTGCAAGCCAAGTTATCTTAGGAGTAAGTCAACACTCATACATGAAGTTGAAAGGAGGCTAATCAGAGAAAAAAGACTTGACTAGGGTACGGGAAAAAATTCGGTAACATAATTTTAAAAATTACTATTTTAATGAATATTTTTATATAACTCTGCGGGTATTTTTATCAATATTGTAATAATTATTTTTTTCATTTTTTCCGTACAAAACAAATTACCACTTTGGTAAATAATTTATTATATTTGTGTTTATTTTTATCATTATTATGATAACTATTTTTACCATCTTTAGTATCACATCAGTGATAAAAACACCCACAATGTGATAAATGTTGGAATGGTTCAGATTTTTTTTTTTTTTTTTTTTGAGTATGGTAGACAACTTCAAGAAATAAAAAAAACAAAATGATTCTTGTGATGTGACCCTCATCGATTTTTTTACAACACGCAAAATTATTGTTATAGACAATAATTGATCAATCGTCAAAAGAAATTGTATAGTAAAGAATTTGCGTCGGACATAACATGTGGAGCAACAAATTTTGTTGGCCCAAACCATGCCAAAGAGTTATGTACAGAGTAGATGTAGAGCCTGAGGAACCGCTGCATAAATAACAGCTCCCCCTTTGGTTGTGTTTAGGAGGCCTTCCAAAAATGTCATTATTAGTTCATGGTTGTTTTTGTTTCACAAACTACACAACAACAATAATAAACCAAAAACTACATGAAACTTTGGGGAAGGCCAAACACATAACAGCAAAGCTGCGTTGGTTTCTAATTAAAAACCACGATGGCAAGCTCATCGTAGAAGTAATGTTGACAAACAAAATTGCTGATGACACATTATGCTTAACCAACAATTTCACTTGGCAATATCGAGATTTGGATGTCTCCAATATACTTTTTTTCATTTTTTTTAACTGAATATAATTAGATCCCCTACCAATACACGTGGTGGAGATCTATTGGAAAAAAAAAAAAACAGAGAGATTGTGTTGAAAAGAGTCGAATTTTGAATAATCTACCAAACACATATAATTGTGAAAAAGAAAATCCTAGATGAAGAGTAATTGCTGATCTTATTGGAATCGAGGAGAGGAAATTGGGGGTGGGCTTGGAAATGTTTATATCGAACTTTGAACTGGGTTGAGAAAAATGTGACAAAGATTTTATAATTTACGACTAAACTACTATGCATACTCTGTCTAAAAAATAAATAAAAAAAATAAACCCAAAACGCATGGATGTATCAATAATGCAAAGTCATGTTATGGCCCGAATGTGTATTCCTTTGCTACTTAAAGGCTTGTGTTTTAGACAAATACAATCGGAGTTAAGCATAAACATAGTTCGTCCTCTTACTCTAATCACTTTGTTTCCCCCCCCCCCAAAAAAAAAAAAAAAAAAAAAAAATTCCCTTTTGGTTATGAAAATGTTCAATCATGCGCCAGAGTTTTGGGCAATTATGGGTGGTATATCCGACCCATCAACAGATGTTGTGGCCAGTTACAGATAAGAATGGGCTTGTCACAACAATGCATATCCTCTAGACTTCTGAACGTCAGATTCGAAGGATTCAGCTCGTCTGTTGCTTAGGAGGAACAACAAGTCCTGTTGTTCGGGAGAAACGGCACCGTTTGGTGCCTTTTTTAAAAAAACATCCAGACCCAAAACGGTACAGTTTGGTGCTCTTTTTAAAAAATCATTCAGACCCAAAAAACGGTGCCGTTTTATTGATTTTTTTTAGTCCTAAAAGTTAACGGTTGGCACCATTCTTGGCGCACTCTTACACAAAAACGAGTCGTCAGGTTTTGTGATTCTTGGTGCATAGCTGGAATACCAAGAAACGAATCAAGATTTATTTATTCAATTTTGCGATTCGTTTCTTTCGTCCATTTCTGGTATTCTTATGTCCATTTCGAATATTTTTAAGTAGATATATATATATAATCTGTTCATTTATTCATATATATATAATCTGTTTTTAAGTGGATTCGACATAGATATTAGTCTGTTCATATATATATTCATAAATGTAATCTGTTTTTAAATGGATTCGACGTAGATATTTATCTGTTTATATATATATACACACCCACAATTTACATTTTTATTAGTTGGTATATTCTTGACTTAAATTTAAATTTTAAAATTTTGAATATTCGATTATTTTGTTGATTTCTTTGATCATTATTAAATTTTATGATATGATTTAGTTATGATGTTTTGGTTTGTTATTAATTTATATTGATAATGGGTTCGAACGTCATCGTCATCTTCTCCATGTAATTTATATTGATCGTGTTGTTTT